GATAGTCTACTCTCTTTAACACAACAAATCAATATTAGAAAACTAAAAGTGAGTTTAAACGAGGATAGTCCACAACCTTTAAAATAAAAAAATAGAAGTGGAATGATCTACTCATTTTTAATACAAAATAAGGACAAAAAGTTAGCATTCTTGTCAAATTATCAAGGACTAAATCTCAAAAAATTGCAAAAATTAATACGCTCTTATACCACTCAAAAAGATTGGAGAATCATTTAAAGATAGTATAATATTAAACTAGAATGGCTATTGTCAAAGACAAGAAGACTAAAAAGTCTTGAAAATAAGAATAAAGACTAAAAAGGCATTGATAAGAGTGAAGAAGGCTTCACTCTTACCTCTATATATACTATCCAACTAGAAACTATGTAGTGACATCCTATAGAACTTCCAACACATATCCAATTTGCAAGACATGTATCTTAACTTATAAAACAAATTTCCAATATATATGCCATATAGTTAGTTTATACCATAAGCTATCCAAATAAATAACGTATGACTAACTTATTCGCCATGTTTCTAACCTATCAATCAACTATAAATATATATAAAGTCAAATACATATCTGATAATATCAAATCTACTTATATTTATCTTTTATCTACTACTTCTTATATAATTAAATATGCATATCTATGACAATGGAGATTATATAAGAAAGAAATCAATATAAATATTATAGAAGAAGTTTCACTAGAAGTAGAAGACTTGAGAAGGATTTCAATCCAAGGGAGCTTTACAAAAGACAACCTTAAAAAACTTGTATATAGAGACTACAAGGCTCTCTACAATCAGACTTAAACAATCGGCTTTTCTTAGATTGATTTCTTATTAAGTGATTACAAGTCACTTCCATATAATAGAGAAGGATAATAAGGTGAGATGGATCTTAATTAATGAATTTAATAGATGTAAAAAATTCTAATAAGAGTGCAAATTTTTACAATTCACTAACAAAAGAATGAACCTCATAAGTCAAAACAAACTTATGAAACTTACTAAAAAAATAAAGGCAATTACTAGAAAAGTAAGAAGGAAGTAGTATCATTTCTCAAAACAAAAAATAAATAAATAAATAAAACTAAAACTAAAAAGACATGGTATTAGATAGAAGAAAAAAAATTAAAATTAATATTACATAGTTGTTAGTGTAGATTTAATGTTATTGTAAAAATATTAGAAATGAAATTGCTAAAGTGCAAGTAAAATTCTCTAAGTAAAAATATAAAAAATAAAAATGAATTAAGACTTTTTAAAGGATTCCAAGTATCAATGAGGACATTGATTCTCCAAAGTGGAGAAGGATGTGAGGATCAATAGTGACTATCAATTTGCAAAAAAAACAAAAAAAATCATTAACTTTGGCTCTCTACCAAATCCATAAGGCAAGTTGAAGTAGAAGGGATCACAAATGAAATAGGGCTAGGATTCCACCCTTCCAAAATCCTATGTTCTAAAGGGCACCCCTCACTAACATTCAGGGCCTAGCAAAAGAGGTATGTTGGCGCAGGGATGTCACGAGGTGCAGGCCATTGAGAAAAAGTTGTGATGCAACTTGGAGGAGTGAACCCCAAGTGATTGTTGAGAATAACTTACACTTTTGTGTGGGGTGTTTTCAGGTGAAGGGAAAGGTTAGATATTGATGTATTTCAATTTCATTTCCGGTGCTTAGCCATCGTATGCAGCTGAGGTGCAGATACAAGTTAAATAACGATTGCAACATGATTCCATGCTGCTGTATTCTAATGTTTACGTGATAAACCCAATCATGGCAAACAATATGAAGATCAAACAACTTCTTTTAAACATGACGCTAATCAACATACTATTCACGCGCAACACTGCACAAGATTTTCTAATAAATGCTTGTTAGTATCCTATACAAATCGGAATTCCACGACGAATAATGGATACACAGTATGCAGTTGCTCAAGTTTACCAAATATCTGCATTGACTTCACCGACCTGAGTCTTGAGCCGGACCCTGGCTCAAAAGCGGCGTCGGAGTGGGCAGGCCAGGAGACACACATGTGAGCCCTGATTCTTCTTATCGATCAGTCCTATTTCTGAAGCCATTCCAGACGAAGGAGGCATCTTCACGCTCGGCGACGGACACTGTTGCTTCTGGGTACCCATAAAATTCTCGCTTTTCCACCAGATAGTGTTGACTACCTCTACCGCTCTGACTGACCGATCTTCAATTGTCATGAAAGTTGACGACCTCGCTGCCACAGACGCATGCATCGTCGAGAACCTATTTATCCGGTTCAACAAATAAAAAGGGGCTGGACTATTCGTCAGCAAATTTGTCGAAGTCTTGTGCGAATGTGTTTATTCCCTAACGATATGTTTAGTAGGCTGATGAAGCGGAAAGGAGATTGTTGCTTCAGCTAATTTTAGGTGAAATGTGCTTCTCATCTCTTCGTTTTCTTCGCTCCCTCTTTCCTTTCTTTCTCTCACCGACTTCGCGTTTTATAATAACTTTGTGCTCTTTCTATTTATAGTAAAGTGTTGAAAACACGGATAAATTGTGCATTTTATCCAAAGTATTTTTTTTAAAAAAATATCCCTATTCTTTCGAATTACATAATTTTTACATGAATGAAAAGAATATTAGAGAGTTTTACATTTTTGTAATGAATTGCTTACCTTCTACTTAAGGGATGGAGTTGCTGTTAAAACCACTTGATTTGATTATGTGGTACTAGATATTTAATCCTTTTTTGTAAATTATGACTACGAATTGTTTTCTTAATTTCATGTGTTAAAAAATTAAGTATTTGATGCAGAAAAATGCTTTGATACTTTAAAAACACATATCTTACTACAAAAGATACTCAATTGGTAAAATTTGAATTCATGACCGAAAAAGAAAAAAATACAAATAAAAATAATAATAATAATAATCAAGAAGAAGGTAAATAATGAAATTAAACTGGTTTGTAAAAGTCACACAAGACCTTTGGATAAAACAGATGGAAGTGTTTTCTTTCAAAATATTAGTAGAGGAAGATCAACATTTTTTGTAAAAAATTAAGTAAAAGAAAGGAACTTCAATCAATGTGACTGATATTTTCTTAAAGTGAGCTTTTTTTAAAAGGATACCATCACGATACAAAATTGAAAAAAGATCACAACTAATTATATAAAACTCATAAAATTTAACATGTTACTATTCTAGTCATTTTAATTTAATTTATCAAATAACAGAACATATATTATTTATCATAATTATAATATTTATGAATTAAGTATTAACACCTGGCAAGTTAAAGAATAGAACTTTGAATTTGAAGAAAAATTACAAATAGAATGATATTTTAAAATATAAAGTTAATTAAAGTTAAAAAGTTGGCTTTCTTGAATTTTCTTATATTTTACCAAAAAAATTGATACATTACAAAAAATTTAAGTAATATGTTTGAATTCTGTGTATATATGTATATATATATATATATATACACAAACATGTATACATATTCAGTACATTAGTATTTTGTGATCTCTTTGAATATTCGAATCTCTTAAAATGGTGTTTATCATGTTAACTCAATTTATTTTTTAGATAAATTTGTGACACTATTTTTAAAAACTGTTCAACCTCAAATATGTGATTAAATTTATAAGTTGATAATTTAGAGCATCCATAAAAGCAAAAGAAGTTTTTGATGTGAAAAAACAATCAATCTACAAATATTTCGTGCATTATCTGAAAAATCTAATTTGAATGTAAGAAAGTTAGAAAAAAAAAAAAAAAAAAAAAAAAAAACCTTTGTAAATAAAAATGCCATATGTAATGTATCAGTGGCATTGGTATAATTGTGGTGGAAATGGTACATAAAATAATTGTATTACTGAGTATCAGTGTCTTAGCATAATCTTGGATGTGTGGTACTAAGAATTTTTTAAGTACTGAAATAATATTAACATTTAAACAAACTCGTTAATAAAACAGGAGAAACTCTATTACTACAATGATCTCATTGATTTATATATTTATTTCACAAGAATAACTAAAAACTTCAACCATGTTTTTATTTGAACTTCAGTACTACTAAAACTGTATTTCCTTCTTTGAAATAAAAGTAAAACACAAACAATTCCATACAATAGATTCAAGAAAAAAATTAACTATTACAAAGAGAAATACTTCAACATTTATCAGTTTTAAATAATATCCAATTAAAATATTGATTAGGAAACAAAGACATTTTTTCAAAATGAAAAAAAAAAAAATGTCTATATATATATATATATATATATATATATATAATTTTTGTGCTAAACCTTCACATAGAATACTGGTGTTACTGTTTGATAAACATAACGTGGTCATTTGGTCTACTCAAACATTAAAAGTGATTTAATTTTAGATCATGCTTATAACATAAAAAATTATTCAATCTAGCACATGTCATGACCTACATCAAATCTCTAATGTAATTAGTGTATAAACCTCACCATATTCAGATATAGGGAACCAAACTAACAAGAGTTGAACAATCATTCAATTCAAATGAATGCCTATTGTTTTTATATGTTTTATGCTTAATTGTGATTTTTTTATTTTTATTTTTTTTTTCCAATGCATGCTTTTGATTTTGAAACCAACCATTGGTCGGAATTAGGTTTGGTTTACATGTTGAAGTTGGGTTGAAGAGAATCTTCAGCTAAAACATTGATAAAAATTCCGTTTTTGCACAAAATTATGTGAAAACACCTGAAATCCTCTTGATTTCTATTTCATTACACAGAGATATATATATTTTTTTATTTTTTAACACACTTGCAGGGCAGATATGCTAAAATGATTAAGTTACTGGAAATGGGTCTGCTATCTTAAATAAATAATAAACCCTACATACAGACCTGCTCATCACACTTGAGCATTTGATTCCTTCCCTGCGGTTGCAGAAACCCTCCTGACCTTGAAAACTGCATCCAACCAACCCACATTAGAGCGCAGAACACTACAGAAATCACAAAAACGGACTTCGTGCGGCAGCAACAGCCCAACAACCAATTGCGTCTACTTCGATCCCCGTTGGTTCTGAATGCTTCTTCCCCCGCCTTCGCCAACTGCCAGTTTCGTAAACTGCGCCTGGAAGCTCGTAATATTTATCGAGGTTGTGAGCATTATGGCATGCTGTTAAGGTGGAATTGGTCTCGCACTTCTCTGAGGGTGTGAACGACGTTTTGGAAGCGGCTCGTGAGGTGGAGGAGGGACTGAAAATATCGTTCTTATTGTTTGGGGATTGACAGAGCACGCCAATTCGTTTGAGCGCGTCAATACTTTGTCGAGGAGGGAGAACTTTGCGGGAAAGGTCGGAGTAAGTTACATACGCAGCTTGTAAGAAGAGTATGCACCTTTTTTGCTCGTTGCAACACCTCACTGGCTGGGATTTCACTGTTGGTTCGTTGGCACGACGCGAACCTTCGGGGATTTGGCTGTAGATGAAGGTACTACAGGGGTGCGTTTCATATTCTAAGCGAAAAACAGGTTGCGTTGTAGTTTGTGCCGTTTCGAGAATCGTAGTTTTCAACAGGGAAAGGTGCATTTAGTTGAGGTAGTACTTTTTCAGCACCCTGTTTATTGGACTTGTATCTAGCTTCGAGGATGGTGGAGTGTTCTCAGTGCAATGTTTTTTTCAGAAGAGCCTGTAGCGGTACAAAATGTTTGCAAGTAAGAGCACTGTGAGCAGGTGAAATTGTTTCTAGTAAGTATTGGTCGCTTGTAAATCGGAACGAGCAGTTCGAGATAGGATACAAGTCGAAGATGTCTTCGAAGACGTTACAGTATTTTCGCAATCGGTCCGGCAGAGAGCCGTAAGCAGAGCGCAGACCACGTCGTCATTTGAACCTCTGTATCTCAGATCGAGGGTTACAAAATCTTCTTCAAAGTTCAGCACGGTAAGGAATAGGTGACTAGCATTTGCGAGTTCAGCCAAAACTTGCTGTTCGTGACATGAAGGAACTCCCAGCAGATATGAGCTGCAGTAGAGCTTTCCTCAAAGTCTCGCGCAATCGAATTTACAGAAAAGTAGAATACCTTGCTGGCTTGAAAGAAAACAAACTGCTGCAATCGATCGAGCTTCTTGGATCAGCCCCTCTTGCGATTTTGAAGGAGTGCTGAATATCCAAACGATCATCATGTCTCTCGAGGAGGAAAGAGACGAGCAGAAGTTGTCAAGCCACGAGAACGGAGTGCATCACACGGTCATTCTCGGCTGGAGCAACAAGATGGCCTCGCTGCTGCGACAGCTGGCCGTTGCCAACGAAAGTTTGGGCGGTGGGAAGATCACAGTCGTAGCTGCCAGGGAGCTAGAGCAAATGCAGCTGGCGCACAAGCTTCATAATACGGACATGTTGGGGACGACTGTGACTTACATCTGCGGCAGTTGCCTTAATACTCAAATTCTTCGCGAGGCGTCAATCGACACAGCCAGCGCTGTAATCGTGCTCGCTGAAAGCCAGGACGCGGAGGAGAGTGACCAGCTCGCGGTGATTATCGTCAGAAAAATCTTGAAAGTAGTGGATGCAGAAAGTTTCAAGGGCCACATTGTCGTAGAGGTGATGGACGTCGAGAATGAGCCCTGGATAAAGAAAGCTGGCGGGGATTTGGTGGAGACTGTGGTGCCCAAGGACGTGATCACTCGTCTAATGATCCAATGCGCTCGCCAGCCTGGCCTCGCACAGGTGTGGAAAGATATCCTAGGGTTTGACAAGGCGGAGTTTTACATCAAGCGGTGGCCGGAGCTTGACGGGATGCGGTTTATTGATACTCTCATCAGTTTCCCGGATGCCATCCCTTGCGGAATCAAAGTTGCTAGCCGGAGCAAGATAGTGCTGAACCCGGACGACGAATATATCCTCGCGGAAGGCGATGAGGTGCTCGTCATTGCCGATGACGACGAGTCATACGCTCCGTCCACTTCCCTCCCGGACGTCCATCTCCGCAATCCTCGCAAGTCCATGGAGTACCTAATCACAGCAAAGGCGGTTAAGAAGCTTCTCATCTGCGGATGGCAGCGCGACATGGAAGACATTGTTCTAATTCTGGATCAGACACTCGGAACAGGCTCTGAGGTTTGGATCTTAAGCGAGGTGCCGGAGTTGGAGCGGGAGAGGCGCCTGAAGGAACATGGCGTCACGGTCGAAACTCTTGTCAATGTGAAATTGAACCACTGCACAGGAAAAGCTACTGACAAGAAGGACCTCGATGAGCTCCCTCTCGAAACATTCGATTCCATTCTCCTTGTAGCAGACGGAGATACGTCCTTCTTCGACGGGGAACAAGGTCCTTTATCGACGTTGATAATGATCAAAAGCATCCAGGCAAAGAGGCTGCCTTACTGGGAAGCCAGGGCAGTGCAAATACGGCCAGCAGGGAATGACAAGAGCAGCTGGATCGACGAGCTCCAGCAGTGCTCCGCACAATCGATTATCGTTAGCGACGTGCTGAACGCGGAAACGAAAAAAGCCATCGACCAGACGGACGTGGAGTACGACATCGAAATCTCGGATGAGATGGTAAGTATGGCGCTGGCCATGGTGGCAGAAGACAGACGCATCAGCGGCGTGCTCGACGAGCTCTTTGCCGAGGAAGGCAATGAAATGTTCATTAGGCCCGCAGAGCTCTACCTGAACGAGGATGCGGAGGAGCTCACCTTCTATGACATCATGGTTCGAGCTCGGCTGCGCAAGGAGATTGTCATCGGCTATCATCGGAAATTCGAGGAGGAGCCCGTGATCAATCCTGCCAACAAGGCGGCCCGGAAGCAATGGCACTGGGATGATAGCTTCATTGTCCTGATCGAGCGCTACTGATTCGAAATCATTCCAAGTTCGATTAGAATTCCTCCTCGCCTGCCACGAAAGCTTCCCCACTTCTCAAAACATCTTACCAGTGACTCTACTGTACCTCTTCCGCATTTTGGTTGGATTACTTCAGAGAGCATTGAGAGAACCGAGATCTCACCTCTGTGAGATAAAAAAAACAATTGAACAGCCGCTGTAGACATTTCCAATTTTGTAGTCTGTGAGAACATGCACCTTGTTATTGTTGAGACTCTGCTTACAGAATCATTTTCAATCTTGCGTGTTGTGTGTTAGAATTGTAAATAGATGGAAGTATATGTTATGAAGCATCTTAGCGTAAGGATACGTTTCCCACATGTGAGGGCCTCGGTATTCTGAGTCCGAATGTGTCTACTGCTCGTAGTAATCTAGTACGATACACGCTTGGCCTCACCGTGGGATACTCGGTTTTCGTGCCATCATCCGTGGCTTAAGCTGGGATCGTCAACCTTGACATAAGTGACATAAATGAAATGCTGCTCACATGAGAACAGCATTTTTTTTGTAAAATCTCGTTAAACCTCTCTGTTCTCCACATCACGCATATGAATTGATTCCGTTGGACTTGTCTCGATACACGAACAAGAATCATACAAGTGATTCACTATGACTTGTGTTCCTACACTCTTCATATAATCGTTTTGTTTTTTTCCTTCGGCTTACTGTTCTCATCTCACTCACTACCCTTCATCTATGACTATTTTTGTTGGTGCCTCTTGTCACACCCTTTCAATGTTGTCTCTTCGACATAGTCACAATCTTCCTGTCTTCGGTTCTGTTTTCCCTTCGGATCCAATCGCACCTCCTGATCGCGAAAGTAAGACAGGCCATTCTCGCGTTGCGGTAAACAAAATTTTGGAACCGAAAACTCAGTCTTAGCAGAGGTGCACCATTCAGCCTAACGGTTTCGCGACATTGCAGTAATAAATTCAGTGCACGATGAGCACGTCTGTAGCCATGGCCATGGGCAGAGTGCTCTGCTTTTCGGAGGTGAAGAATGAAAGCACATCAACAAGAGGGAACAAGTCACACGATTCTCCATTTTCCTGAAGACTAGGTCGATTGTTTCATATCGCAGCCCTGTGAACCCGAAACCATCACCATGAATTTGCTCACACTGTCAAGTATGACCTCGACATGCTGCTGCCCCGATTTTGTTCGGTGCAATGTCGCCAGCAGCCCTTCGATTTCATCCATCGCAAATCCTTTCTATGGACGACCTCATTTAGGCACCATGAGCATGCGAACCTCATCCAGCAACAAAAACAAATTGCTCAAATCACTGGTATCTGCGAGCACCACTCTAAGCTTCAGCCCTTTTCTCGGTGGCCAGTCCAGTTTGCATCTGGCTCCTCGTCACAGGAATGAGGCTCTTGTGAAGCTCACACCTGCTTCGAGAATCGTTGCGCAAGCTTCAGGGAGAGGCGCGGCCGGTGCCAATCCTCCTGAGAATACACCCAATCTCAAGGTCGATGAAGAAAAGGCCGCCAAACAAAATGCAGCAGATGCAAGCAAATTAAACATTGGGATGAAGTTTGCCGTATGGTGGAGTCTCAATGTAGTATTCAATATTTACAACAAGAAGGTGTTGAATGTGTATCCCTTCCCTTGGTTGACGTCCACTCTTTCCCTGGCAGCTGGTTCCGGGATTATGCTCATCTCATGGGCTTTGAAGATCTTGAAGGCGCCTGAAGTGGACTTCGAGTTCTGGAGGAGCCTCGCACCGGTAAAACTCAATCTCTCAATCACGCTATCTCGTGTGGAGTGTTTGTAACACCCTCCTTAATTATTCTGTTTGCAGCAGATCAGTCTGTTGGAATGGCAAAATCCAATAACTACTGGGCTGGTGTGTGTAATGCAGGTAGCGCTAGCTCATACGATTGGGCATGTAGCAGCGACAATAAGTATGTCGAAGGTGGCGGTATCCTTCACCCATATCATCAAAAGCTCGGAGCCTGCATTCAGTGTGATCATCCAGAGAATAGTATTTGGGGATAAGTTTCCGTATCAAGTGTATCTCTCGCTGCTGCCAATCATAGGGGGTTGCGCCTTGGCAGCGGCGACAGAGCTGAACTTCAACATGACAGGTTTCCCCTCAGCCAAGACCCTGTACTGTTTCCGTGCCTTCATGCGGAGCTGGTGCTGCTCATTGAGAATCATATCCTTAGCTTGCAAGTTCCTGAAGTACCTGCCTGGAATGAATAATGTCTGTTCGTGCTGGTGGACAGGATTTACGGGGGCCATGATTTCGAACATTTTTTTTGTATTTCGCAATATTTTCTCGAAGAAGGGGATGTCCAAGAGTAAGAAAATGGGAGGGATGAACTACTACGCTTGCCTCAGCATGATGAGCCTGGTATTCTTGACACCCTTCGCAATCGCCGTTGAGGGCCCAAGAGCTTGGACGGCTGGCTGGCAGGCTGCCACACTCGCCCACGGCGACCAAGTATTCTGGTGAAGCCCCCCTCCAGGAACACCTTGCAGAACACCTTTGTGTCTTTACTTCTGAGGGTTGCAGGATATCGCGGTGTTGCTGCGGGTTTACATGAGCGAATATTACGAATGACGGTATTTAAGCAAGTTGATAAGAAAATGGTTGTGCGATGCAGGTGGGTAGTGGCACAGAGTGTGTTCTACCACTTATACAACCAAGTGTCATACATGTCATTGGACAAAATCTCCCCACTCACATTCAGCGTTGGCAACACGATGAAGCGCGTAACCGTTATTGTGTCCTCAATCATCATGTTCAACACAAAGGTCTCGCCCATCAACGCCGTTGGTGCTGCAATCGCAGTTTTTGGAACCTTTTTATACTCCCAGGTAGACTTAAGGGATCCAAAATCAGGTCAAAATGCATGGAACTATTTCTACAAGATTCACCAAATTTCTACTCTAGAAATGTACCCAGCAGCTATAATGATCCTTAAGCCCAAATCTCCTTCATTCATCCACATTGTCCTTGTCAATGCTCTGTAGTGAGGTATGGGGAGATTTTAACAATGAATTGCTTGTTTCGTGGTGTGCAGTGCGCGCAATAAGCTCCACTTACAAACAACTCCGATGGTGAAGAATTGTTCTGATAACAAGGACTCAATTCTTAGAAGAGAGTTGGCATCACTGGGACGGTGTTTTGGACCCACTGTTGGGATTCTATAGGGAATTTCTAGCCAGCGGTAGCATCGTCATACAGACATGATCTACAACGTCCTTCATCACGTTATAGGAACTGTCGATGCACGTAGACCAGGATCTGCGTGTTTGTTACTTGCTCCCATCGTTTCATTCAGAATTTTTGAGGCACTCTCTGAGGTGGGATTTTATTTTTTTTTATTTTTTATTTATTATTTTTATCTGCAAGCTCTATTTCTGTTTGGAATTTTGTGCGCAGGTTGTTTACACTTCACAAGAATGTATCATTCTATCACTCTATAACAGACCCAAAAAGAAAAGGTTTAACAGGATTTCTAAGTTTAACAGGATTTCGAACCATGTAAAAAAATCTTTCATTCTAAAGCCAAGAAAATTTTGAACACTCGATTCCAAAGAATATTGTTTTTGCTGCATAATGACGTTTTATCAAGTTAATAATAATAATAATAATAATGTGTGATTCAAATTGAGTTTAGTTTAGTTTAGTTTATTTTGAATGGCAATATAATTTTGTATTTAAAACTATATATTATGCCATATGGAAAAAATATTTTAAAAATGCTTCAAATCCTAAAATATTTGTCACATGTTCATATATTTTTTACTATATGTGAATTTATCATAGCTTATTTTGTTTAAAATTAGATAATTTTCTTAATTTAGTTATTGTGAATGAGATTAAGTGCTTAAAATTAAATATACAGTCCTTGTGATCATTAAAACTCAATAAAAAAAAAATACATATTTTTAAAATGAGAGGAAGACAAAGGAGAAAAATCACAAATTTACGATGGTAAAGATAAATTAATAAATTTAGTTTAAATATTTTATTAAAAAAATATTTTTTACATTTTTCAGTTATTCACAATATACTTAAAATACCAAAATAAAAGACAATGAAAAGAATCTTAAATGATACAACTTCAAACTCTATTACAAGATTAAACTTGATGTTATTAAAGAGGTTCTTTTTGATGTGTATGATTAATACAACCATTTTCTAAGATATTTTTAATGACATTTACAAAAAATGGTTTAAATTAAAAATCATTCCAAATAATTATTTTAAATTATTATAACCAATGAAATAGCTAAAACATTTCAGCTACATATAAAAACCAAAAAATATTACATATTAAAAATAAATAAATAAAGTATTACAGTTTAGTTTTAATAATATCTAAAATTATAGAATGAAAATCTCAACATTGAAATTCTAATAAATCAAACATAAATTCTATTATTGACATCATTTTTAAAACATATAAAGTATTTTTTTAGGATATTAAATTTTAAAATATTTTAAATATTCATATTTTCTTATAATATTAACTTGTAAATATATATATATATATATACACATACATAACACCACCAAACTAATAGAGATAATACAAACATAAAATAATAGTTAACAACATTATACTTTAATATATTATAGAAAATAATAATAATAATAATAATAATAAACCAATAAAAATATTTATATGAGTAAATATTTGATAATATAAAACTTTTAAAATTTTAAATATTATATTATTTTACAAGGTATAATATATCCTTCTTATAAGCTTTATTCCAAGGCATAATAGTCAATTAATTAAGTAGCATAAGGAATATTCTTAATATTTTTTATTTTTAATTTTTTTGTACATAAAAGACTTTATTTTTTAAATATGTTAGTGTAGACTTAAAAATACAAAAATAATCTAAAATTCCAACATCCTAATCATAAGATAGATTTTGAAGAATACTTATAAGCATCACTAACAACTCTTACTTAGTATCTATCTTTTTTATCATAGATTTTCAATTCTACCACTAGGATTCCAAAATTCCATCTTATGGTTTTTTCTATTCTTTCTCTAAAGAGATTTTTTTTCACCTAAAATCTATTCTTACCTCTTAATACAACATTAATATTATTTGATTGGTGTTTTAGTTTTAAATCTTAGTTTTAGTTTTAGTTTCAGCTTTTTTTTAATTTTTAATTTTTTTTCAAACAATAGAAACCTTTGCCAATGATTCCATGTAGTTTTAAAGGATCTAATACAATTATTTCTAAATCTTAAAACCGTTTTTCAAGTTCTTCTAAAGAATGCATGCGGTCTATAAATTATACAATTGCAATATACTTTTGCACAAGAATTGTTTTGGCCTTCAATACATCTACATTAATTAATCTCTCTAGCACCTATTTTAAGAAAAAAATCCAAAGTAACAAGTATAGCCTACATGAAAGTTCTCACCTAGTTTTGCCTTTATTTGGTGTAGATGCACTTCTTGTCTCTATTCTCACAATAATATCATTATTCAAAAATACACTTCCTTGTTAGATTCTATCTTGTCATTGTTTGCATTGTGGCTAGCTTGTCTCTAAGTCCACCATTAGAAAGACATACTCTATACAAAGTCATTGTATTTATTCTAATTATATTTGGTCCTAAACCACTAAATTTAATAACCTTTTCTTCTTCTTTTTCTTCTTATTCTTTTATTTTTGTCCTCTTTTTCTAATAAGCCTATTCCTAATCCCTAGCTAATGCTAAGAATATTTAACATTTGAATCCACTAATCAACATAGTTATAATTATGCCTAAATTTAAAACTCATTGAACTTGTTGTCAAATGTTGTAAAACTCATTGAACTTGTTGTCAAATGTTGTAAAACTCATTGAACTTGTTGTCAAATGTTGTAAAACTCATTGAACTATCATAAATCTTGGTGTTGTGCTATTCTCTTCCACTTTAACTCTGACTTTGTTGCACCAATGTTCCCAAATTTTGACTATTTATTTATTTATTTCTTTATTTATTTAACCAAACCGGTGTGAAGGGCCGGAGGGGGGGCTATTTCCGAACTATAGACACAGGAACAGGTGAGGCCTCTTGACATCGACGACCGTTCCACCCACTTCCGTCCCTATTCCGGATGAAACCGTCTTCGGAACCGTTCTCCTTGTTTAAATCCCCCCCCCCCCCCCCTGTTTCCTTTGAAAACCAAACGTTTACTGCAGCTCCATCGTGAGCTACACACAGCGTGGATCTCTCTGTCTTGAGCGAGCGACTGTTGTTGTTGTTGTTGTTGTAATATTATGTGTGTTTGTGTTTAAGTTGCTCCGCGAATTCCATGACAAAATGGCGTTGAGGGATGAAGTCGTCCGTTGCATGGGGAACCGGCTCACCTGTGTCGCGCTTGCAGAGAAGTGCGCTTGAAAGGGTGCGCAGAGTGTGGAGCCAGTTGTTTCGCTGTTCCGGTTCAGAGGTGTTTGAGAAGCCGGTGACTGTTCGGGCTCTCCGAAGGGATTGAGCTTTGACGTCAAGAAGAGTTCAGTGCTGGTCCATATTCTGGTGTCTGGAGAGTAATCCGAGAATTTTTCCCTGTTGAACTGCGAGGATCTGACCAAGCACCATGAGCTTGCCTTGGTCAAGGCCATGGTGAGTGTGTGTATCTTGGTCGTTCTGTCTCCGAGGCTTTTTTTTGTTTTTGCAACCGAAGCAACGTTGCAGACTCTTGTGAGGCGTGCGCAACTCTGGCAGTGTGGAAAGGCAGTACGGAGTACTTGTTGAAAAATTGTGGACACATCAATAGCCTATGGAATAATCTTCCATCCTACTGTCCTTCAGTCATTTGCGAACTATCGCTGAGTCTTATTGTTTGAGGTCCTCATGGAATCTGCATCATTAGTGACACCAACAGACTGTCCTTGGACTTGCATTATCATTCTGCTTTTTATGGTAAACCTCCTAAACCCCCTTCTTCATGTGTTGATTGGCGCTAGCGTCTGTACTTCATGAATGTGCTTTACATTGGTTTGCTTTATTTTTCACGTGCTTCTGGTGAAGTTGTTTGGAATTTAGTATCATAGCTTTTTTTTGTTTTATTTTCCAGGCATAGCCAGACACGATTTTGGCCAACGTGACGACGAACGGGATGTACTTGGCATTTCCTGACCAAGCTCTAGAGGAGGCTAATTGCAACTTTACTGAAATTTCTGGAATTCCTGTTATTGATGAACGTCACAGATGTCCTGGAATATTATCCAAGAAGGATGGTTGAAAGCGTCTGATGTATGTTTCATTTTAAGACGGTTTTCTTTGCCTTTTATTCCTCAATGCAGACATAGCTATTGTATGGAGACTTATCTGTTACATCACTTAAAAAATGAGGTCATCGTTCGAATCGGAAGTCATTTGATGTTGTGAACCTGATGTAGATGTTCCCGTATTCAAGCTGAAAAACGAGATCTACCGTATTCCGATGGTCAACGACCAAGAGCAGCAGGCTGTCAGTAAATGCGGCCCTCGTTTGAATTTCTGAGAGGTGATTTCAATACTTCACTAATAGCAAGACTATTGAATGGGATCTCATACTGGAACTTTTCTGTAGCCAATCCTTTTTCTAAGTGTTCCATATTGTGCACTCTCTCAGGTGTTGTGACAAGAACCGACACTTTTTTCCGAATTAGAAGTGGTCGTTTGAGTGATCTCGGAGCGATTGTTGAATAGTTTGTCGGTATTGAGTCGGAAACTTCGAGCGGTTAATACTGTGCTAGACCACCCACCAGCAAAGGTATTTGAGATCAAGTATACTGAGTGTTTGACAACTGAGTTCGCCGAATTTCCCGAGCGTATGTCCAGTATTTACAACCGCCTCAAGGGCTTTCTTCTTTATTCATGTCGAGTTTGACTTTCAGGTCTAGGAGTCTTGTGGCCTAATTCAGAGCTTTTAAAAAAAGATTAGCTCTTTGATTTAGTTTTTCAATAGTCTCTATACTGATGGAGAATACCGCACGAATGCTCGTCATGAGTTCTGTTTTCAATTGATTGCAATCGGTTCTCGGATCAAACCTGTGTTATCAATGACCAACTTTGATTGTCGTACATTTACAACTATTTCAATGCGCCCTGTGCTACACAACCGCCATCCTGATTCCTTCGTCCTCGGTAGTCATCACGCTGCAGGTTAAGGCTAGCTAACCCTGAGGCTGTAGCTCGCCTTCAAATCCAGTGACATGACTCTAACAACTCTAAAAAATCAAATTAACTTTTTTTATCACATCACCAGTTGATAACAGAGTGAGGCAAACTGCCTCACTCACGTCCTTGACTGGATCGGCTATACACCATTAGTTCTCAATTAGCAAGCAGCAACCCAATCAGGGGTGCATGGTGAAGACGTTGATACCTACATTGCTTAAATTGAGAAGAAAATTGCTAAGCTTGAAGTTGGCTGTGTGAATTTAGGTATGTGTAGATTGACATTTCGTGCCACAGTATTGGAACAGTAAGGCAGTTTCTTGTGGAGCACCTTGAGAATTACATGACTTGTAGTTTCCCATGCTCGCCCTGGATGACTCCAGCATATTCCAAGTCAACCTTCTGAAGATAAGGCAAGCATGTAAAGGAAACAACAGTGGATCTGGAAATAACAGCTTGGATCCATTATTTGAATAACTAGTTTATTTGTTCCCTGGTTTAACAACGTTATTGTATAAGAATATCTGTCAAACCTCCAGCTGAGGCTCCTCTTTCCAATCCAGACATGAGCACGAGTCTTATTAGAACCATAGGGAGCTCAACTTCCTTCACATTCGTGCTCCTGCTGATTGAATGTTATCTCTCACACTCCTTTAAAGGAATGTGTAATTGGTACAAAAGAAGAAACGCATTCAATAACAAGTATGCGTTTTCTAGGGACAAATAATTATATTATGAACATCAAAGAAGTGAACAGACCACAGGACATACAGGCCCACCATCGTCCTTAAGACTTTCAAGTTATCAAGAACCAACTAAGATTATGTCCCTAAAAAAGCTGCACACCACAACACAGGGTGGCAATGTAAAGTTATTATTGAGATTTTATAATTAAAATATTAAAATAAACTAATTAAAAAAAACACATACACACACACACACACAGGCACGAACGCACGCACACAGTCCACGGCCTTAGAGTTGTCTCAAATGTCTAATTTCCTCACCGCATGAACATGATATTGCATGCACGTCCCTAAACCCTAAATCTTGGCTTCATGTTGATTCGAAAACTGCACAACCTTGCAGAGGGAGAATTTCAAAAGAGAGTACACAGAAGCTCACGATGGAATTCCAAGTGGTTCCATGACACAATCAAACCATTCAATAATGCAGATTTTACATCAAATTGTCTAACTAGATGATGACATTCTTGCAATTGATTCTTGCATCAGCCACTGGCCAGGAACATTAAAGCCCCTCCGGAACCCTAAACTCGAATGGTCGCAAATTCCTGTCAATCAAATTCTAACCCACCACCCGTCAAAATGAGCGACTAGGTTTCGGGGAGAAACACGGCGATTGGGGAAATGCAAAAAACGAAAGACGATTACACTCCACGTACGTACAACAAAGTGCAGCAAATAGCCAATACGACGAAGCTCGAAACCCAATCACTTGACGGCCGGCGGTGATCCAGGAAGCGGTGGAGCTCCCAGAAGCCCTGCTTGCTGGCTCTCCATGTCCACCATTTGCTGCTCCCGGTCCATCTCAATGATCAGCGGCACCACCAAAATCAAAAACGTCGTCCCAGCGATCCACGCAGCTTTACCTGTGCTCCACAGCAGCTTCTGGCTAAACCGCGCAGTGTTGCTGGCTGCTCTGCGCGCCTTGTCCGTGAGACTCGTCCCAGTGACACTCCCAAAATTCATTCCTCTTCCCCACCCCTTTCCCCCGCTCGCTCCAGCCCCCGCCTTCTGAGGTGCAGCGCTTGGGGCCACCATCGCCAAACTCTACCTTGTTCTCCCTCAATAGCCAACCGCTAGGCGCAACCCGTGGCTCGCTGGAACCCTGGCAACCTCGCAAACCTAACTCACCTCGCAATCGACCTCGCAGCCGAAGGAAGGAAGAGATCTCGGAATCAGAGACGAGCATGCCCAGCTCGCGAGCATGCGACCTCGCAGATCGCTCCACTCGTCTTGCCCTAGAGAAGCGACACCTGCTGCTGCGAAGAACCACTGTTCACTGTTCACCTAAGTCGGGAACGACCGTTCTCACCGTTCCCTTCATGCACTCCCTTCTTCATATTATTATTCATATTACCATTACATATATAGGGAATGTTAAATCGACACCGGTTTTTCTAAGTCGACCCACTTGTTTTAACTTAAAACATTGTAGGATTACTTGATTGTGTTTTGTATACCTGTGGAATTTTTAAAAAATTAGTTGAAATTTAAAATGTTTGTCTTTTGAAATATACATCATGTGTAAAATCCATGGCTGAGGCTTTGGGGTTCATGGTTGGTTACCAAAGTAAGAAACATAAATTGTTTTGAAAGTTGAATATCATATTTCTAAAATAATGGGAAGAAGAACAATGTATTGGCACTTGAAACAAAGATGGGGGGTCGGGACATGAAATAAGGGCTAGAAATAGGAATGGAGGAAGAGGGTCAAATGATGGTTTTGATATGTGGGTTGATTTATTTGAAGCCAGGGTCAATTTAACATTTTGCTATATGTATGTATATGTATATATTCATACATGTAGAAAAACATATATAATCCCTATATATATATATATATATATATTCCCTATATATATATATATATATATTCCTCTAAACATATCTTATAAATTATGATGTTTTGACTTGATTTTTCAAGTGATTTGATCTTTGTATTTGTTTTTTAGAATGATTTGAAAAAAATATCAACATTTCAACTACTTTAGTTTTAAAAATGTCACATTGTTGTGTGTTTTTCTCCAAATGTGATAATATCATTTGAAATTAACTTAATAACTATATATCTGTATTTATAAGTGATATCAAAAACAAACAATGTGAGTTTCAAATTTTTTTAAAGAATAATATATATATATATAGATATAGATATATAACGCATTATAAATATTAAAAGTGTCATATATTTCTTCTTAAGAAACATCCATAATACTAATAAAGTAAATAGAATCTCAAAGTGGCATTTAGAAGTTATGATTATTTGATTAAGAAAAATATATGCAACTATAATTTCAGTTCAAGAAAGTTTAGAATGTTTTAAATAATATGATTTAAAGATATTAGTAGAAAAGTATAAATTAATAAAGACAACATGGATTAGAAATAAAAACATAGTTGGATTTCTTAAAGAATATATAATACTAGTAAACAAATTATATATATATATATATATATATATATACAACTAGTTAAAACTATTGTTTTATAATTTCTTATAAGTTTTTAAATAATAATTTACAACTATTATTGATTTTTGTTCTTAAATTAAGCTAATTTGAAAAGAGATATAACTTTTTAAATCCTATAATTATTCAATGTTTTTGATAGTAATATGCTAGAATAATTAAAATAAAAATTATAAGTATATATTTTGATATAGATATATAGAAAGAGAGAGAGAGGATTGTTGAATCAATCCAAGCATTTACTAATTTAACCCACCCATCATCATTGATTTTCAACCAATGCAGGTCCAGCAATAGAGAATTTGTTGATGATGGTTAGGATGTGTAGATTGATTTAATAAATGCCTTGGTCAATTTAACAATTTTTTATATGTATACTTATGTCTAAGAAATTATGATTAAAAAATAGAAAACTTTAAAAATTTATATAAAAGAGGTAGTATATTTAATGTACTTTTAGAAATTATTAACTTATAATAGTAAGTTATATAAGAAAATAGGAAGAAAAATACAAATTATTTTAACTAGATAGATATATTGATTATTAGATACATAAAGTATCATCTAATATACTAAAAAATATATTTAAAAGTTTACTACTTGTAGCTTCTACCTGTTTGTGAATTAATTTGGTGGTTTGGATTACTAAAGAAATACCTTAATTTTTAAACCATAATAAATAAATAAATAACACAAGAAAAAAGTGGTAGAATGATGACATTACTAAATGTAATTAGGTTGCACAATGAGGTAGTGTCCTAAAAAGATCAAAGACATATATAGAATCATGCATCTAACTCTTAATGAAAATTACAAAATGAGAAAGAAAAATTAAGTATTCAACACTAATTATTAAAATAAAAATAAAAAGAAATAAGAAACTCAACATTGTTGATTTTATATTAATATAGTACGTTTGTGACATGCACAGAATTAATGACACAACAATTTTCATGATTAATAGTAATGTTAGTGCAGATTATGACATACAGTGTTAAAATTATTTACGATGTCATATACAATAAAATTTTAAAATGAAGGACTAAAGAAAATCATAAACACTAATAATTAAGTGACTTTTTAACAAGTGTGCATGCAATAGAATAATTGTTTTTCAAAAAGACATAATTAAATCAACAAATAATCTTTGTAAGGCTTGAAACTGTGATAATGTTGGTTTGTATGTATTGTTCCATGATATAGAGTAGAGCATTAGTTCACGTGCCATAAATTTCCATGAAATAATGAAACGTTCTCCTTTTTGACGACAAGGAATTCCAGGTTACTTTTATTTTTCTTGTCGTTCTTCAAAAGGAGTTCTGATTTTAAGCAAAAGCAGACTAGTCAAACCATGTTGGGCCAAACAAAGAATGAAGAATATATTGAAACAGCACATCCTCTTTTCAAGCAGTCACATGCATGGCATGTTGCTTAATGAAAGTAAAGAGCCAACGCGACATCATTGAAAGCAGAGACATAGTTCATCAAATCTTAATTATCTAATGATGTTGTACACCATTATGCAAATGTGATACAAACTGGAAATCTTGTGTACTGACCCCATCAAAATTGTGTGTTCTGCATGTGCCGTTATAGAACAGCACATTGTTAATTTGAGTTGCTTACTTCAAATTCTTGAACTATATTTGAGTGAGACTCAAGCAAGGCATAGAATGTTCAAGGTTTCCTCGGATTTCCCCAAAGGTCACCAAGCGAGGACCCTCGAAACTGATGCATGTTAACACGGGGCCTTCATTCCTTCTTCAGAACAAATGAGCACACTTTACAAAGCAGAGTGCTCTGAAGATGTGTTGCCATCCGAAGAGCTTCAAAGGTGTTGATGCTGTACAGGATCTCCAACTGGAAAACTTTTTTTGAATGCGACGCCAAAGTGTGAAGGACAAACCCTACTAATGGGCTTTCTAACCCACTGCCCTAATCAGAGCCCCGCTACTATCTACGACACACTCTGTTGAGGTGCTAATATATTCCACTGCATGTAAAAGGGGTCGATATATTCATCCAGGCGTAAAATAATGCTAGATGAAAATCCCGTCTTCTATTTTGACTTGAAGGTGACCAAAAATATCCAAGTAGCTTAAGAGCCCCCACAGGTCGAGTTTTTGCATGTGAGCACACTCTGCACCTACGGTGTGTACAGAAGATTACAAAATTCACAATCAGCCAGAAGTCATTATTATCGAATGCTGGCGAATGAATCTCAAGAAATTGAGTTGGTTGGCATTTTACAAGCTTGCTGGTGAAACATGGGAAAATTTGTTGCAGTGCTCCATCTCCAAGCAGTACTGTACACCTTCAAAGAACAAAACAGAGAAGAATAGTTAAGAAACCGTCACTAAAGTGATGCTTTGATTCTGTCTAATTGCACACAAGTGAAAGGCAGATCAATCCCCTGCATAGTCGCTCCATTTTCCATTCATTAAAAAATAATTTCAACATTCCGATTATTTCCGGGAATTCGGTCGTGCAGTAGGTGTGCTGATCTTATGTCCAAGACTTAGACAGCAGACTGCAAGTGATGCATGTGTACAAGTTCCCTATCCATTTGAATTTTTTAACATAGCACCAAGTTCCATTTCCGTGGTTACACATAGATATCAGGGACACTCCATCCAGCCTTTTCGAGTGACAGAGAATAACTCCACTTCCCTGGTCAAGGCAAACAGAACTGCCTGGATGCATCCACATATCTTTATGAATGTGAAGCAATTACATATTTTCAACGTTAGCCTCAGGAAACCCTCAGATTAGGTTTTATCGTTCAGACACAGCTTATGCAGGCACTTTCGCATGCAAGGAGAAGAAAAAGGGCTTGACAAAGAGATCACAATTCTCACGAAGTTTTTGCATGCAGCATATCAAAAAATAGAACGAAAAACATAGCACTGTAAACAATTCAGAAAACAAACCGACTTGAGGGCACACAAAACTGTTCCTCACCTTCTCATCAAGCTGCTGGTTCCAACGTTGCGATGGAGGTTCTGAGACAATCATGTCGTTTATATCGTCCTCCCGCCAACCGCCCTGCCGAAGAACCAGAGATATCTCGTCCAGATATCCATTTAACCACCTCAACGATTGCGCCTCGTTCTTTTCCTCCATGCGATCCCTTTCTGGATGCTTCTTCACTGGACTTGAACTACGCTTCGATGAATCGGAAACAATCTTTTCAGGGGAAAAGAAACTTTCACCATGCACAGCAAATTGTTTGTGCACCTTTTCCGCGAGATCGCTCCAGAACTCAATATGTCGAGAAGTTCGAGCATCCCGTTGGACCATGGAGACGTTTATCAAGATCTCTGAAGGAAGAGATTTCTCCACAATGTGAGGATACTTCGTAATATCATCAGAGCTCTCGAAATCTTGTGATAGGTCTGATTCTTGTGATCGTCGATCAAAACTTCTTGAAAAGCTGAGCTGCCGGCTTGCGCTACGGCTGGAATTCAAACACTCTAATCCCCCGCTGTGAAGCTTTCCCATACGCGGACTCACCAAGAGCTCAATATTTTTAGCAAGAACATCCAAACTCCGACCCCATGTTTCTCCTTCGCCGCTGGAGCTCCCAGACCCTGATGCTTCCGACACATCTGTCCCAAATGAGGAATTCGAGCTACGGTGCACAGATTCACTATCTGATTGATGCAGCTCCCTACTAACACGATCTAAAGTTCCACCTTCAATGTTTTTCTCGTTTCTGAAACTACCCATGTCATACATCAAATCACCGAACTCGAATTTGTGTAGCAGGAAACCTTCACGGTCGAAAAAGTCTGCAACATCGTACCCGCAGAAGACGACGTTCTTCTGGTACGCGAAAAAGACAGGATTGCCGGCAAGACCAGGCGAAGAGGGGATATAACAATGACCATATATGGGAACAAGGATTGGAGATCTGCGTAAAGCAGTACGAGCAACTCTGACGGCTAGTTTGGTATCCGTCGGCCTTGGACCCCATGCTTTCCACCAGAAACTGGAATTAGCGACTTCACGTAAAAGCCCAACGATGGGCAGGTTGATGCGCATGCTGAGATGATCACGACTACCAGCTCGCCAGTTGGGAAAGCCTGCTCCGACAGGAAGAGCCTCATGGAGGATCCCTTTCAAGTCTGGAGGGAATGTGATTCCAAATGTTGCTTCAATTTTATCAAACTCTTCATCAGAGAGACCTTCGGATATGGGGACTTTGCAACTCTTCAATTTGTCTACAACGTTGCGGGCATACGCAGAGAAGGAGAAAAAGACCCGGCGAGTGCCTGGCGGAGTAACAGGCCCTGCACTCGCGCGGGCGGACAAGCGCTTGAGACCTGCAAGATGAGCTTGAAGATGCTTTGTGGGAGTTCCGACCTTCGATAAATTCCTTGAAACTTGTTCCACAGCATCCAACATTGTACTTGGAGAATCTAGGCCGAAGCCACAGAATTCCTCGCACAAGTATTGACGGATATATCGACCTAAAACGTCTCGTTATTATTACTAGGCTTGCAACATCGTCACATCGGACAGTCCACGAAAACTGAGCTGTAAAACTTGAAGACCATCCTGGACAAACTTCAAAGCAAAACTTTAGTCCATTTCCTGGTTTGGTATGCAGTCACGACACATCCCTATCCGGAGCTCCTCCTCAAATGTTCTAGTACCTGCTTCTACTGAGAATGTGCTCCGTTGTTTCCCGAGGCATAGACGAGCAAAGTCTTCCGAACAAAGACGGATTGGATTTCGATACTCAGGAGGCTAATAACTCAAGAGCACCCCCGATCCAACGTCAAAAACACGCCAAAAAATGTGGAAATTGCCAAGAAAAAGAACGTCGAACAACGCTGAAAAGCAGAGCGGTGTTCACATGTGGACAACATTAACCATCAGAGCAGCTGAAGCTCTTCTTTGCTAGGCCTTCAGAACAATTCCAACCCGCCTGTATATTCAACAGAAGCAGCAGCCATCGAGCATTAAACTTCCAGACAGCTAAATCTCGGCCACACTGCTGCTACAGTAACCATTAACGACTACGCGCAACCAAAACTCTTCACAGCAAAAACTCTCCAGCCGCATCCGTTGTTGCGATCCGATACAAAACAGAAAAACGACACCGTAGAAGAAAAATAAAAATGATAATCTCCACCAGCAATCATTCAACTCTGAAACTCCACTTTAACAATCATGAGAGCACGAAGCTCCACATTGTTCTAATTATAGCGATTCCTGGTTACTCGTTCCTCTCCTCTCTACCGATCCAATTCCGCAACCCCGCACAAATCGACTAATTACTCAAGAGCACCACCACCACACCTCCACTCAACAAATAGTCCACACAGAGCCTTCACTTCACAACCACGACGTAGAAAATCAACAGACAAGTAAGTAGTAAGAAGACAGAATTAGACAACTATTCATACATAAATAAATAATTAAACAGATAATAAAAATCAGAAGAATAAGAATGGTAGTAATGTCAATGGTAATGAAGACGATCTTTGTTTAATTTAAAATTGAATGCAAATGAAACGCCCGGTAAACAACTCCCCAGGAGACCTTGATCCCGACGCTTTTTCCGCAAATCTACAGAAACCTGGCGACGGAAGCTGTTCACTGAGACCGTTCCGCATCCAACTGGTCACACGCTGCTGCTGCAACGAAGAGGAGGAGCCACAACGAGGTATGGAAAAAAAAAACAAAAAACAAAAAAAAAACAAAACAAAACTATGACGAGTCCACACGAGCGAGGACGAAGAGAAGGACGAGGACAAGACGAAGAGGAGAGGTGAGGAGGAGGCCCTACCACGAAGTTGCCCTACACCCGCGCGGCACGGTGGGGTACGTCATTGTCTACGGCTGCCCCGCCACGCTAGCCACGATCACCTCACAGGGAACGCAGGGGGAGCTTCTCGAGCGCGACGAACGGCTTTTATGGTGACGTTAGCCGCGCTACCCTGGAGCGGCAAGGGTGAAAAGGGTGTGGAGACGAGCGGAGTAAGGGCCCGCTTCCCAATGCAAGGAAACGGATCTACGTAAGGTGTCATTAATGCAATGCTATGGGGAAATGACCCATTAACACTACTACTGGGTCTCTCTCTTACTATCTTGCTTTGGGGGTCCCCTATGAAGCGAGACCTTGGGAGACGTTAAAGTAGGTGAGCAAGCAAAAGCTTCATCAATGGCCACTAGCCCTTCTCATGTCTAGCACACACCCCCCCCCCTTTTTTTTTTGTAAGGACACCCCATATCATCACACAAACCGAAGCTCCCCATCCCTTTTTAACTTGCTTATTTACTGTTCCAATCCCTCTGGGTCTCTGCTATGACTTGTCCCTGTAAAGAAATTCCGGAAGGCATTGAGATAGTAACAATAATAATAATAACAAGGAAGAAGAAGGGAAGAATAAAAGGGTCTACAAGAAAAAGAAAAAGAAAACATGTGTACACTTAGATTGATGTTAATGTTTCCACATTCTTTTACATGCCTACCACTTTTTTGCTTTTTGTGTCTCTATTTTGGGCTGATACTTTATGGTATCACAATTTGATTTTAAGTAAGGAAGATGTGACAAGTGTGGGCTTTTTTTCTCTTCCATTTCTGCTCTATTTTTATTTTTGAATTTGATTGAAAAGTGATTTTAGGTATTTGTAGTAGTGAAATTACATCCATCACATTTCAAGGTTTGAACCTTTTTTACTTGATTGAATTCCAGAATGCATTCACGTGGTTGGAATGGAAACTGTGACCTAACTTGATGAGCAATGTTTTCCCACACCAATGGTAGTGGTTTCTCAATTACCACCATGAAAGTAATAATGATAATAATAATAATAATAATAATGATGATGATGATAATAATAATAATAATAATGATGATGATGATAATAATAATAATAATAATGATGTGTGTGTGTTGGGTATGTGTGCAAGGAAATAATATAGGCTCACAAACCTTCTTTTTTTTTCTTTTTTTTTTGTTTTACTTGTGATTTGTGTTCTTTCCAATATTCTGTCATTATTATTATTAATATTATTTTATTATTCATTGTGCATATGGTGGTAGTGGGAATACAAACAAATTTGTTCTACTGGAAGTAAATTAATTTAAATACCAGCATGTGGCAGATGATGACAAGTATGAGTTTCAATGCATGGTGATTCTAGATATATGATACATACACTTGTCTGTTGTGAGTATTCTCACCATCATGAGTGAGCTAACATATGGCCTATAGCTCTACCCACACAAGTGGAAAAAAAAACCCAAACTCCCATCTACAAATGAAAAATGTACATACATTTGCAAACATATATATATATATATATATATAGTTTATCATATATTTGTTTGTTTGTATGCACTCACATCTCTGGAGAAAAACTGGAAGCAGCTTCTGAATTGGGCTTTTTGACCTAATCTATGTCCAGCAAGGACAATTCACTCCCAGGAACAGAAAGGAGATCAAGCAAGTTCCACCATGTAATCCATCCTTCCACTACCACTGTAGTGAAACCTACCTGGGACAGACAAAAGGGCAGATCCACAGCAAGTGTGGTCCCTGATGAGTGTGGGCTGGGCTCACACACACACAAATTCTGCCAGTGTGCACGGAGCCATAAAGCAAAACAGATTGATCATCTAAAGCCCCATAATGTGCTTCCCCCCATCACGCATTCTATCATGGGGTTCAATCAGGACAAGGCCTGCCTGGTACAACAATGGAAGGAAGCATCATAAAACATCACCTTGAAACCCAGCCAGTACAAAATCTGCACAAAAACACACACAAAAAAAGAAACAAAACAAAACAAAACAAAAATCTAAATAACTAAGCCTTTTTTTATATGTGCTGAGATCTAGGGTTTAGCAGTTACGTGGAGAGTGCAACTTCAGTAGCCAAAAGCATTGCAGGATAGACCTCTTTTGGTTGCTACTGTTGTTATTGCCTCTCCAGGGTAGAAGAAGTAAATTGGTATTACATATTTGCACATGGTATTGAACCAAAGTAGTTATTTTTACCATTGAAAAACCTGTGCTGGAAAACCTCCAATTGCTCATTGTTTTGTTACTGAAAACCCAGTTTTCAAGAGTTACTGGTGATGATAATGAAATAATGTTCTGAAGGGACTTTGAAGTGGAGCAGCAGGAGAAGCCACAACAAATGGGTTTTGCAGGAAAAATAGTTTGGTGGCTTATCCCATCCCTCTCTCTCTCATTGTGACAAAAAGAGCAGTAGAGGCACTTTCTTTTTACTCACCTCCTTTTAAACGTGGCTGGTGTGCCAAGTGCATTATTGGAAGAGCTGTCCTCTTTTCCCTTCTTCCTCCTAACCTACAACAACCTTTATACAATTTTTTTTTTTTTTTTTTTTTTTTTTTCTTCTAATGTTTATTCCTTGTAATTCACTACTGAATTTGTACCCATACCCCCATGAAGCCCCACAAGAAAAAAAATGCCACAAATGCTCTGAAATTCCATATATGTTGTTGTGATGCACAAGACTTATTAAACGAGAGAGAGAAAATCCCTTATATATGAGACAACTTGTGGCTACATCTGTGATACATGATTCTCTAATCACTAGACAAAATTTGAACAAATTTCAATGCACCATGTAATAAGAAAGAAAGAAAGATAGAAAGCAAGAGAGAGAGATTCTTTGCATTGCTCCAAGGATCCCACTTCATGATCCCATAGTAGTAACAAAAAAAAAATCATTTTTCTTCATGTGGGCACAACAGACTAGTCCATGTCAAAACTCAATAGTGCCAAAATGAAACACACACAAGGCCCAGCAGGCTACAGCAGCAATGTCTCATTCAGGGAGTAAATGTCCCCATGTGAATAATTCACCCTCATTCATGGAACCTCTCAAAATCAATTTGTGCCCTTTGTTTTTTTGTTTTTGTTTTTCTTGCTGCTGTCCAATAGCAAATTATCTATTCATCCTCAGTTGAGTGAGGCTTCTGTAACAAGGACCCTTATTTACATGCACAAGCAAATATACACACACATATAAGGAAGATGCATTCCACTAGACTACCAAATATAAAAACAATTATCCTGCTGCAGCCAAAAAGCGTCTGGCAAATATCAGGGTCTAGATGTTGGAGTTAGGAGAATAAGGGCATTCCTGCAGCAGCCTTGAAGGAAGAGAGCTTTGGTTGCTCCCAAGGGAAGCCCTGCAGTTGACACACTTCCAGCTTCATCACAAATGTGGGTCAGCCATAATTTGGACTGTGGAAGCATAAAAGCCTATGATTCCAACTAAAAAAATCCCTTAATCAGTCTGGACCTGTGGTTGACCCACTGCCACACTTACAGTTATTTATTTATTTTTATATAACTTTCTACACCCTGTGTGTGTGATGTGCATCTTAACCACTCTAATGTTGTTGGCAGTGCAAATCTTTAGCATTTAGAAATCATTAAGAAAGCTTTCTTTCTACCCCTCGTGATCTAGATTCATATTTGGATTTTCTTAAATTATGATTAGCATTAAAATACCTTAAACCACTAACCTAGTGATTTTGACCAATTTGTGAAAGTTTTTTTTTTTTTTTTTTTTTTTTTTTTTTTTAATTTATTTTTAGTGGAGGATTAAGGTTTTAAAGTGTTGCAAAAGAAGGAGAAGAAAAAAGAATTGCCTCAATGGTTTAATTGAAAAAAATGGACAAAAGAGTTTTTGCATTAGATCCCTGAACCAAGGTGTAGACTTCAGCAAAATAATGAATAATCAGAGCAAAAGTTGGGATCATAAGGCTGCCATATTTGCAACTGCATAGATAAGTTTCCAAGCACAATTTGGGCATAACAAGCACATGCATGTGGGACAGAAGTCAATGCAGCAACAACAACAACCAAAAACCACAGGGAGGGAGGCAAAAACCTTGTCACTAATTACACACATTCCACTTGTCATCTTCCTTAGAATGGCAAGAACTTGAGCTCCTATATCCACATGTGGCTACTTTAAAACCACATAAATTGATTGAAAATGGTCAAGATAAATTTGGGGTCAATGAAGGCCTCCTCTATGGTAGAAAGTGTATCAAACCATATAATAGTTGTGGAGGCTTTCATATGAGTAGAGTCCATATCTTCCCTCCTTCTACCATTTTCTTTTAGATTAGAGCTCTACAGAATGTGCCTTTGGCTTACAATACTTGTAGGAAGTATCACCTCTCACATATCCATGATTGGTGAAGTAAATTGTGCATGCAACATTGTAAAATGGGTGTCTAATGGTGGAAATTGAAGGAAGTTAGAATGAAAGAGGAAGAAAAAGTAGCCTTTGATTGGTTTGATTGGCAAGATGTATGATCCAAATAGTCATGTTGGAATAAAAAATTAAAATTAGTTGTAACTTGATTCTCCAACATCCACTTAGTTAAATATTATATGCCTTAACAACATTGTTTAGCATCCATATATATCGTCCATTGCTTTCTTTATGTAAAATTTGCACCTCTCTAATGTAATTGTAATTCACATGGTTGCTTTTGTAATTTAAGCTATAACAATCTATTGTGTACAGAATTCCTTTGTATGCTTATCCACTTCTTTTTCAATGGCATAGCATGCATAGAAAGCAACCTTTTTTAAGCCTTGTAGCTCATGTTGCCAAATCTGCTCTGTTTGCTCCACCACATGTCATATAGTAGTTTTTTCTTCTTCTGCATACTTTTGTTT